ATCTTGGTCCTGGGTGAGGAAGAAGATAAAAGTGTTCGTTGTTGTCCCCAACCCTTTTTCCTTTGGCCTCACCACCACTGGCCCACTGGAAACCTTGGATGCAAGTTAAATTACATTTCCGCCTATTCACACGAACTTTTTACTGAATATTTGGAAGTGGTAGGGACTGATGCAGCTTGCAAAACTAAGTGGATACCCTGGTTAAGAAAATGAAACAAGTTGACTTCTTTGTCAACAAACCCAAAGCTTCCTTAGGAGGAAATGAGGTAGTAAACAATTCTAACTCTCTTTGCTTCATCTTCCTTTCTTATAGGAAAGGGACGGATGTTCCAGAGAAAATCTCCATTATGCATGTGACAACAGCAGCTAGATTATTACATGCACAGAAATGGAAAGAAGGGAAGGTTCCAACAAAGGAGGAGCGGCTTTTGAAAGCAATGCAGAAATGGCAAAACTGAAAGCAAAATTGAGAGACGATGAACTTTTCATAGAAGAATGGAAGCCATTCATGGGCTATTATTTTTTTTACAGTCAAATGAAATCGCAAGCAGGACTCGAGATAAAAGCAGCAGCAGAAAAATGACAAAACATTCAGGCCCTGGACCTGAACGAGGCCCCCCACCCCTGACTCAGGCCAATATCGCTAGCTCTCACTGGCAGAAGTTCTTCTGGACCTCAGACAGGCTATCTGATGTCAGGCGTTGGATCTGCAACTTTGTCTATGCAAAGTTCTGGATTCATAGAGTCGAAAGGCACCACGAGGATCATGCAGTCCAACCCACGACAATACAGGAATCTTTGGCCCAACGTGGAGCTCAAACCCACAACCCTGGGATTAAGAGTCTCGTGCTCTACTGACTTTCTACTGCTGTTGGCCACAGTCCCCTAGGCTTCGGCTTGTCACACCTCAAGTCAGAGCCAGAGTTGCAGCAGTTCTCAAACCATCATTGTAACTCCATTAAGTTTTCCTGGTGACTCCTATCACGGGACACCAATGGACCTCCGATGAAAGTTCAGTACAGCAACAGTTAACAAGGATTTGGTTTTTATCTTGGGCTAGAGCAACCCAACCTGGAGAGCTGTTTTGTTAGATAATTCACACCACAGGGATGCAGTGGAGTGTGACTAATCCTTGAAGGATGTGATTATCTCTTCAGAAGTGCATCCCAGGAAGCCCCTTGTTTTGTTATGCGAAATCTTTAGAACAGCTACATTTGATGCAACAGACAAGCACACACAGACACCCCTCCAAAATTTAAATGGTTCAGAAAAAGGCTGAAATTTAACTTCACCCTCAGTTGAACTCATAGCTCATCATATATACCAATGTAAGGTATATTTGTTACATCATGTATTTACAGTGCTTTTTTTCCTTAAAAAAAAAGGTTTAGGGGGTACTCTCATTTTCCTACTCATATTGAAATACTGCCCCTCAATGAGGCCAAACTTCGATTCACAAAATGTTTAGGGGTTTGCGTACCCCCACATTCCCCCAGAAAAAAGCACTACACACACACAATGTCAGAATAAACACAGTTCCTTGGGTTGTCTTTCATGCATTCCCACAGGGAATTATAAAAATAATTAGAAACACACACACACTCCAATGATAAGTAAACAAATAAATAAAATGCTTTTTTAAAAGATTGCATATTTGATTGGGGGGAAAGGTGGAAATTGGATGGGCTAGTAGTCTCCTTAAAAAGGCATGTTTGCAGTCTAGGGTACGTGTGGAACCAACCTATGGCAGCACTTAATTTCATTTCCCCGGCATTTCATTGCCTAATAGTATTTGCCTTTTATGTGGTCTTTCATATGCCATCAGGGTGTCAACTCCAGGGAACAGAGCATTTTTGGCTCCTGAGCACAACAGCATTCTGTGTGAGTGTCTGGAGGCACTGGAGGATGGATGCTGGCTGACAGATTGAGGCTGAATCCTGACAAGACAGAAGTACTGTTTTGGGGGGACAGGAGGCGGGCGGGTGTGGAGGACTCCCTGATCCTGAATGGGGTAACTGTGCCCCTGAAGGACCAGGTGCACAGCCTGGGAGTCATTTTGGACTCACAGCTGTCCATGGAGGTGCAGGTCAATTCTGTGTCCAGGGCAGCTGTTTACCAGCTCCATCTGGTACGCAGGCTGAGACCCTACCTGCCGGCGGACTGTCTCACCAGAGTGGTGCATACTCTGGTTACGTCTCGCTTGGACTACTGCAATGTGCTCTACGTGGGGCTACCTTTGAAGGTGACCCAGAAACTACAACTAATCCAGAACGCGGCAGCTAGACTCGTGACTGGGAGCGGCCGCCGAGACCATATAACACCGGTCTTGAAAGACCTACATTTGCTCCCAGTATGTTTCCGAGCACAATTCAAAGTGTTGGTGCTGACCTTTAAAGCCCTAAACGGCCTCGGTCCAGTATATCTGAAGGAGCGTCTCCACCTCCATCGTTCTACCCGGACACTGAGGTCCAGCACCAAGGGCCTTCTGGCGGTTCCCTCATTGCAAGAAGTGAGGTTACAGGGAACCAGACAGAGGGCCTTTCCAGTAGTGGCACCCGCCCTGTGGAACGCCCTCCCACCAGATGTCAAAGAGAACAACAACTACCAGACTTTTAGAAGACATCTGAAGGCAGCCCTGTTTAGGGAAGCTTTTAATGTTTGATGCATTACTGTATTTTAATATTTTGTTGGAAGCCGCCCAGATGGGCGGGGTATAAATAAATAATAGTCATCATCATCATCATCATCATCATCATCATCCCCTCCTATGGTTTCCAGCAACTGGTATTCAGAAGCATTACTGCCTCCAGCTGTGGAGGTGGGGGACAGCCATCATGGTTAGTAGCCATTGATACTCCTCTCCTCTATGAATTTGTCTTATCCTCTTTTAAAGCCATCCAGGTTGATGGTCCTCACTGCCTTGCTGGAGGAATGAGTCACATAGCTCACAGTTTAGCAACAGAGCCAGGGAGGGCTCACTATCTTACCTGCATCCAGGCTAGCAGCAACTCTATTTGTTAAGATGGAGGCTCAACTCTGTTTGGCAGCACTGAAGGGAGACTCTGTCTGGATCTTGCCCAGATGAAGACGGCCATCTCCACCCACTATTGGTTGCTCCCTATTGCCAGAGAGGATGAGCTTTCCAGCTAAGGAGAGAAGCCAAGGGCTCTTGCATAAAAAGGTAGGATTGGCTTAACTAGGTCAAGCCATAATGTGTGTCTTCCAAGCAAATACACAAACCTTCATAACTATGCACAGGACCCACACAGATGTACATGTATGCACATGAACACACACAAACACACACACACACTGAAGCCACTAGCCAGGTCTGCTGTCGTCCTCCTGAGAAATGTGGGTCCCTCTTGGGATTTAGTGTTCTTGTGAATTCTCTCATTCTCTGAGAAACTTTGCTCACTTCCCATCCACCCCATGCTATTTGTGAGGGTTGCCATAGTGATGGCTTGAGCATGGCTTCACCTTTTCCACCTCTATGTATTCTTGATGAAGGTCACGGCTGGGATATGCAACCTGAGGTCAGAGGTCTAACAGAGAGTGATAACTCATCAGGAGGTAGATGAGCTTACGGCAGAGTTTTACTTCCCTGGGAGATCTAGCATTGTCAGGACAGAAGCAATGCAATCAGAGGCTGGAATATTTGAGAACATCTCCCTAAACTTCAAGCCCCAAATATTCTGACCACTGCATGGCTAGGACTGCCATGCACATGCGTCACTCAAGCATGTGTAAACAACAACAAGCATTTATATAGCGCCCTTCAAGCATTCATGTACGGTATGTCTTCTCCAAAATCCTTATACCAGCTTTGCAAAGTAGAAATACTATTATTACTTCTGCAAAGGGGTGGGGAGGGCCAATACAATAACAGTAAGCCTAATAATAGAGTCACTCAGTGAATTTCCATCTGGAGTGAGCAGTGAACCGGGGATTGCTGTGCTTGCAGATCACAGTCCTAGGCATTACCGTATTTTTCGCCCTATAGGACACACCGTCCCATAAGGCGCACCTAGTTTTTTGGGGGGGAAATAAAGGGGAAAAAATTATTTCCCCCCCCCCAGGCGCGGGGCTGGGGCGGGGGAAGCCCGAGCTTCCCCCGACCCCAGCCCCCAAACAGGCAGCTCTCTGCAAGCCGTGGGAGCCCAGCGCTGGCTCCCGCTGCTTGCTGAGAGGTCCACGAAGCCTGGTTGCGCTGAGCTCAGCGCGCGCAGGCTTCAGCATGCAGGCAACTCTCCGCAAGCAGCAGGAGCGCTCCCGCTGCTTGCGGAGAGGTCCATGAAGCCTGCATTCACCCCATAGGACGCACACACATTTCCCCTTCATTTTTGGAGGGGAAAAAGTGCGTCCTATAGGGCGAAAAATACGGTAATGGCCAGTGGCAATGTAGAATCACCACACCCATTCTCAAACCATAGGCCCCTTCTGAATTTGCATTTAGCATCAGTGCTGAATAGGGCGCTACAGAATAGAAATACAAGGCAGCAGTTGGGAGGCAGAGAAGCCAGGGTCTGGCAAATCAGTTGTCGGGCAAAGGAACCTGTCTTGTACCAACTCAGACCATTGGTGCATCCTATCTCAGCATTGAGGGACGCGGGTGGCGCTGTGGGTTAAACCACAGAGCCTAGGACTTGCCGATCAGAAGGTCAGCGGTTCGAATCCCCGCGACGGGGTGAACTCCCGTTGCTCGGCCCCTGCTCCTGCCAACCTAGTAGTTCAAAAGCATGTCAAAGTGCAAGTAGATAAATAGGTACCACTCCGGCGGAAAGGTAAACTGCGTTTCTGTGCGCTGCTCTGGTTCACCAGAAGCAGCTTAGTCATGCTGGCCACATGACCCGGAAGCCAGCTCCCTCAGCCAGTAAAGCGAGATGAGCGCTGCAACCCCAGAGTCATCCACGACTGGACCTAATGGTCAGGGGTCCCTTTACCTTTTACCTTTATCTTAGCATTGTCTACACTACACTGACAAGTTTCAGGCAAAGATCCGAAGCTGCCAGGGATCAAAGCTGGGACCTAGTGCATGCAAAGCAGATATGCTTTACCACTGAACTATGCCCCCTTCCCCACGAAGAATCAGTCCCAGTTATCTGTTGCTACCCCAAAGCTGGCCTGCTAAGGTTACCTCTTTTTTTTTAGGTACACTCACCAATATTGCACAGGCTCAGGAAACAGGGACATGCTTGTGTATTTGAAATGAGCCCATTTTCACCCTGCGGCTGCTGCTTGAGATCCTTGCCCAGCTGCACACAGTGTTGTGCACTGCTGCCGTGTCGTACATTGCAGAAGACTCATGTCAGTCCGTGGTTCATTTGCCCTGAAATAGCTCGCCCCGCAAGAGTATTGCTAGCCCAGAAATGGAAGCAAGAAGAAATTCCGACGAAAGAAGAATGGCAGACAAAATGAATGGACTATGCAGAATTAGTTAAAATGACAGGAAGGATTCGAAACCTGTGGGACCAGAGATTTACAGAAGATTGGAAGAAATATACGAACTATTTGAAGAGCAACTGTAATCAACAAATTACGCTAGTAGGACTACAAGAAGTTTTGTAAGGAGAAATGTATGAAGCATTGCAAAGTAGAGAAAGAAGAGAGATATTAGTTATGAGTTAAATGTAATTGTGGAAGTAAGAAATGTATATTTAGCGAATAGATTGGAAATTTTTCAGATGTGATTGATGGAAGTAAAAAAAAAATGGTATAAGATATGAAAGTATGTTTAATTACTGTTGAAAATGATACGTTGAAAAACTAATAAAAAAATTATATATAAAGAAATAGCTCACCCTGGCACAGGCTTTCTGGAGCAGGAAACAACAGAACCATAGAATTGTAGAGTTGCAAGAGACCCCGTGGGACATGTAGTTCAACCCACCTGCAATGCAGGAATCACAGCTAAAACCAGTTGCTCTCCTAGCTCCAACAGGACAGAACTTACCCAGTGTTCTTAAGGAATCAGCACCCACCCTAAGGACAGAGACTCTTGAATTTGAAGGTGATGGCATCCATAATGCAAAACACTATCAGAATGTGAAGGAGATGCAGTTGGCGCACCAACCACAGCTGGAGAAAAGTGCTTGATGCCAAAGAGGCTACTAGAGCGCAGGAGTGGAACACAGAACAGTCCCAAGCTGGGAATCTGGTGCTTTAGGGTGGCTGATGTGTTCTCCACCTTGCTTCCAGATTAAAAAACATGGCACTTCACCTAAGGACAGAATTTGCCGTCTGAAACAAGGTGGTACCACACACTTGGTTCTTGCCCTGCAGTGATTCTAGTACAAGCAATTTTTTGCTCTTGTTTTTAATTGTCCATGGAAGGAGTAACTCCATCCCTACAAAGGAGTACTTGCTTCACTTCGTTTATGACAATAAGTAAGGAAATAATTTGCAGCCACGGAGTTCTCTATGTGTATTCTCTATAGGCAGTTATAGAGGGAAAGGTGGGAAACTTGTGTCCACGCAAAAGCAACTACCTGTGTGCACAAGAAAGTCAAGATTTGGGAAGGATGAACACCGTGACAACTCTAGTGTGTGTTCATGCCCACACTCTGGCCACTGGCATGCAGACCCTGCAGGGGACCACAGAAGGCAATGCAGTCTTCGGGATGAAAAGGCTTACCTAGCCATGCTTTCTATCAGACTTCCTCATTGGCCATGCTGGCTGGGGCTGGTGGGAATTGTCATTCAAAACACCTGGAGGGGGAACCAGGTCAGCAAAAGCTGCTGTAATGCATGATGGTCTTTGTAACATGGCTGTATTGATCACAGCTGTAGACCAGATCCCATGCACACTTCTCACTTCGAGGCTGGCTTGGTGGGGGACACACACCCCACACTGACTTACGCTTCTTTTAAAGTACAGAAATTATTGCAACGATGCAAATTACCTTGGGTGCAATTCCCCAGGAATATTTCTCTGCAGAAGCCACAGAGAAATGAATGTGAGCCACGCAAGGGCCTGGAATGAGGGATATCCCTCCTTCACTGTTGCCAAATGTGCTAAGGGCAAACACACCCAAAAATAATTTCAGCTGTGGGAGCCCTTTTTCTGTCTGTTGCAATGATGCTGCTGTATATATATTTTGAAGTGGCCAATTGAAATTAGATTTTAAACATGGATTATAGAAATATACAGGAAAGCCAGAGAGACTTTTGCACGTTTTGTTATTCTGAAACAACCTGTTTTCTTCTTCTTCTAACCTCCGGGTTGTGTTTAACTGAGCAGGAGATGTTGGAAATATTAGCACATGTAGAGGGGAAATAATTCAAAGCCTTTATGTTTGGGGACCAATTAATTACCAAAACCCCCAGTTTTGAGAAGAAAGATATTTAATCTCCTCTAATCCCTTGTGACTCTGACCTTTGACCTCTGCATCCTGACCTCTGGGTTTGGGGCTCCCATCCCGCAGGACACGACTAAATATAGACCCATTGTTTTACAAACAATAGTTTCATAAATCTTTGCAAGTGTAAGACTGGAGCCCTTCGCCATCAGCATCGTCTCCATCTTCCCCTCTGGACCCTGAATATATTTCTGTGGGCATGAGCTACGAATTCTGCTTCTTTGTCTTCTAGCAATTCCGATCTGATCTAACGCATTGTTCCTGCTACCATATTAATTACTGGGAAAGTATACGTAGGGTTGTGTGTGAGAGAGAAAGAGAGTGTGTGTTTGTGTGTTGTCCTGTTTTTTGCCTTCACACTCGCTGGAGCCAGTTCCCGCTTCTGATCTGACAGCCGAAGAGCTTGGGAGGTAATTATACAGCTCTGCACGTGCCTTGCTTGCGGCATATGACACACCACATTATTGACACCAATTTTAATTACTTCTATTTATCTCTCCCTTCTACCTAATCCAAAGTTGACGTTAGTTACTTCAGCACAGGAGTTGTTGAATAGAGTGCAGTTCCCCTCAACCTACCGAGTGCCCGTTTCCCTAAATAAACCACTGGGGTTTTTTGAAACAAGAGGAAATCCTGTCTTCTTTTTTTTGTTTTCATGGAATGATGTGAAGAATGTAGAGTGCGCATTTATGGTAGCCACCTAGTGGAATTTATTTCCTTCTGCATGACTTCCTGAGAATAGAGCACAGATACCTTGTGTGCATATGCTAGTCCGGGAATTTGTATGTCCCAGAGCTTTGTACAGGTTCTGATGCATGCCTGGAATTCATCCTCATCTTGAGGAAGATGCTCAGTGCTCAAACCCCTCTATGATGGGGGAGTGGGAGGGATTTGTGGTTCTGAACTCCAGCTCCCATCATTCATGACAATAGGCCACGCTGGCTTGGGCTGTTGAGGATCAGAGGGCACCAGGTTAGCTAAACTTGCTTTTGGAGCATGGCGTTTACCTCCTTCCCCATTGAAAGGTAGTAGGGAAGGTTTTGTTTCCATGATGGAATCCTCACACCCGCAAATGGCCCCCTGCATCTCACCCCGTGAATGTCCCCGTTCAAAACGTTGCAATTCCACACGGAAACAGAAAGCTCCCTTCTCTATCTCCACTTCCTGTTTCCCTCCCAGTTTTGATGCGCTGTAGCCCCTCTACTGAATTTTGTTGCTTCTTTTAGGTAAGGTAAAGGGACCCCTGACCATCAGGTCCAGTCATGGCCGACTCTGGGCTTGCAGCGCTCATCTCGCTTTATTGGCCGAGGGAGCCGGCGTACAGCTTCCGGGCCATGTGGCCAGCATGACTAAGCCGCTTCTGGCAAACCAGAACAGCGCACGGAAACGCCGTTTACCTTTCCGCTGGAGCAGTACCTATTTATCTACTTGCACTAGTGTGCTTTCAAACTGCTAGGTTGGCAGGAGCAGGGACCGAGCAATGGGAGCTCACCCCGTCGCGGGGATTCGAACTGCCGACCTTCTGATCGGCAAGTTCTAGGCTCTGTGGTTTAACCCACAGTGCCAGCCGCGTCCCTTGTGGCTTCTTTTAGGTGCTACAAAAACCATTTTGAGCACATCTCTGCCTAAGCTCTGAGGTGTGAATAGGTGAGCAGGCACTGAAAACAAGGCTCCTTCCCTATCCACACAAAGGTATCACTTGCAGGGGGAAAACAAGGTGAGACGTTTCCCCACTTTACCCCTTTCCACAGATTAAGACTCCTATTGGCAGAGGCTACCTGGTGCCGATCCCAAGGAGAGGTGATCCGGGAGCAAGCATCACCCTCGCCCAGCACATGCAAGTGTAAAAATGAATTACCGCAATGCAAGGAGCAAGGAAGAGAATATCAAGCCTTGCTTTAATTTAATATAGCACTGGATATTTCTATGCACTCCTGATTAACCACTGGATGAAACATTCTCTGTGGCTGAGACTGCGCTGACATTAATAATTCATCTTCGGTTTGTTCCGGACTGCAGAGTTCCTTCTTTGCCACTCCATAAGCAACTGGATATTTTAAGTAAATGCAGGGGGAGATTGTATATATGTACACACAGACACACAGAGACACACACAGAAACAGAAACACACACACACACACACAGAGAGAGAGAGAGAGAGAGAGAGAGAGAGAAATATACTTACAAAATAAATAATCATAATAGCAGTATTCCAAAGCTCTCTTTTGCTTTTAGTTTTCCATAGCAAGCAAGGAGTCCCTCGAGAACACATATGCCTGACCCCAAACTTTCCCCATTTTCCAAGTCAGTGCACTTGATGGGAACCTATCAGGCTTCCTCTCTTTGATTACATACCCTTTAGATCTTTAGTTGTGGAACTGTTGCCAATTTAGGGTTGGATGAATTCATTTCATTGATGGAGCTTTTAAGATATTTGGTCCCTCGTTCTCTCCGCCTGCCCCATGCATCTTAAGTGGCTTGCAAAAGAATCGAGACCACGCGCGCAAGGTGTTGGGTCTAGGGGGCAGTCCACCATTCATCTTTCCAAATATGCAAACACATTAGATTTCCTTCTGACCCAAGTTCTGGCGGGGGAGTGGAATTGTCCCTTTGGAAACAAAGCTCGAGTTCCAAGCTCTTCAAGTTCCCTCCCCCACCTTCAATTTTTAGCAAGCTAGTAAAAATCAATAGCCTCGTGTTCCCATCTGTAAGCCA